ATTATAAGTTAATAAAAAAGTCAATGGTTTTACAGTAAAATTGTATGCTACTCTAAATAAGCAAAAGCTTATTTTTAGTCATTTACTTTATTAGATTTATAGGTTTTAATCAATTACTTTATATTATATTATGATACTTTTAATTCTTACCTATTAGAATTAAAGAAAATAACCTTTATTTATAACATTTTGTTAGTTTTGTTAGCTAATTATATGCTACTATAGTAAGCAAAAGCTTATTTTTAGCCATTTACATTACTAGATTTATAGGTTTTAATCAATCACCTTATACTATACTATAATATTTTTAACCCTTATTAGAATTAAAGAAAATAGCCCTCACTTATAATATTTTGTTAGTTCTGTTAGTTAATTATTAATTTTATTAATTGATTATTAGTTCACTGTTAGTTATTATTAACTTTATTAATTGAAAATAAGTTTTTATTAATTAACAATTAATTAATAAAGTTAACAATTAGTTAATAAAATTAATAAAATATTATAAAATAAAAATTATTTTCTTCATTTTAATAATTGAGAAGTTAAAAATATTATAACATAAAATAAAAAAATTAAAATCTCCAAACTAAGGTAAAGGGTCAAAAGATGGTTTTTTGCGACACATAACTCTAGCCTCTTAAAAAAAAAAAAAGAAAAAAAAGGCTGAGGTTTGACTTCGGTAAAAGACGCCACTAGGGACCGTCGGATGTGGTCCATGTTAAGAATTAAGATCCAATAACCCACTTACAAGATCCGACCGTCCGTCAGTCGTTCACATTCCGCATCCCTTCTCTACCCCCGTCTTAACTCTTACGTTGGCAACCCAACGCAACCTCCAAAACCCTTCTCCCTTCAGGTCTTCCCCTCTTCCCCTCTTCCCTCTCTGCAACTTCTCCCTCTGAAATTAATTTACACATTTTTGGTGTTTATCTACAGAAGAGTTGGAAAAGCAGAAATCTTTATAACATATTATTGCCATGGGCAGCACCTTCCTCTCCATGCCAGCCAAGCGATCCCTTCCCGACCCTACTACGACTTCCACCAAAGGACCCTCCAAGCGCTCCAAGTCGGCACACCCTCCGCTCCCGGTTCCGCCCGGCCACGTCTCCTTCCGTTTGGTCTGCCACGCGTCTCGCATTGGCGGCGTAATTGGGAAGGCGGGTAACGTTATCAAGCAGCTCCAGCAGTCTACGGGTGCCAAGATCCGAATTGAAGAAGCTGTACCCGAGAGTCAGGACAGGGTCGTTAGGGTTATTGGGCCGAGCGCTGTTAGTACCAAGATTGTGCTGAATTCTGGTGGGCTTGTTAGTGGAGGTAATGCTGGGGGTGTGGAAGTTGGGGTGTCCAAGGGGCAGGACGCGTTGATTAGGGTGTTTGACAGGATTCTGGAGGTGGCTTCGGAGAGTGATGGAGTGGCGGTGCGGGTGGTATCGTGCAGGTTGTTGGCGGAGGCAAACCAGGCCAGTAGCGTTATCGGGAAGGGGGGAAAGGTTGTGGAGAGGATAAAGAAGGAAACTGGTAGCAAAATTAGTGTTTTCAAAGATAATTTGCCTGCATGCGCCTTCTCCACAGAGGAAATGATAGAGGTAAGAAGTTGTATCAAGTTTTGTTCTTTTGAATTTTTGGAATTGGAAGTTAATCTGGTTATTTCATTTTAGTTCTGCTTCAATGGGTTTGCATTGTTCCTGTGTTTGCTGGTATTTGCTGGTTGTGGGAACTTGAAGATCTTAACTTGGGTTGCTTTTATGGTATATGGTGCAAGTATTAAACGTACTTGGGGTGCCTTATTTGTCAAGTAATGTTGCATTCTGTAGCTTAAGTAAAAAGCTAAGCTTGTTTCTTGTACTTGGCTCATGCAAAGGCATAAATTTTGCATGCTTCCAAAGTCATAAGAGCCGTAAGTATTGAGACAGGATGTTTCTTACATTAGAATTCAGGATATCTTTCTCAACTATTTGATGCCGATTTTGGTAGCTTATGCAAAATTTAAGCATTTTACTTCCACTATGTTACTTTGCTTGTTTGAATGTCTGAACTTGGTAGTGCTTGTAAGTATTGAAGCGTCTTTCCTGGCTTTTTTTGACTATTAGAGGCTAGACTCTTTTAACTTATGTAAGAACAATATTACAGTAGGTCACACAAAAGCTCAAATTTGGGATGCATGTGAAGTCTTTTTGGGTTAAAACTTGCTATTTCCTCCCTCGGAGACTGACATTCTTAGTTTTATCCAAAAGACAAAAGATAATCTAATCATGGTTGAGACTCTGAACTGAAGAAAGATTCAACTCATTGTAGAAAGGAACTATAGTTCTTTACTCCTAGAAAACATTGGTGATTAAAATGGATATGCAAGGAACAATTATGAAAGTAATTTATGTTCAAACTCAAATAGGAATTATTTGGTCTTGAATGGATGAAGGCAGTGAAAAGATATTTCCTCCTTTAGAAGGTCAAAAGACAGTGAATATATGAATTTTGGGAGAATGGTTCTAGTTGTAGAAAGTTTGGGCATTTTCTTTTTTATTCTTCTACATCATGTAATTCACAAAAACAGAAGGTGCATAGAACTAAAGTGCAACTGGTAGTTGCAAAAGTGTGCAATTAATTTTTCCATTAGGAGGCTTCTCCATGTTAGATGCTTACGCTAGTTACCTGTGAAAGGGGTGAGTAGTTGTCTGCTGTGTTATGTCTATACAAATGTTTTTACATGGTATAATTACTTTCTCCAACATTGCCATTTGCTAAAATTTTTGGTTCTTTCTGTTATTATTATTTGTTCCTTTATGAAAATGGTTCATTTTGACAGATTGAAGGAGATGTTCTATCTGTAAAAAAAGCACTTGTTGCTGTCTCACGCTGCCTCCAAGATTGTCCACCAGCTAATAAAACAAGGATAACTGAGAGCAGGACTACAGAGACAGTTTCTCAGGAGACACTATGCAGACATATTGAGGTAATTCCCCCGGAGACGCTACAAAGACGTATTGAGGTAAATCCCCTGGAGTCTTTATGCAGACCAATTGAGGCAATTCCCCTGGAGACCTTGCACAGACCTATTCACTCACTTACCCATGAAACTCTGCGAAGACAAACTGAGGTTGTTCCACATGAGACTCTATCTGACGTGCTCATGGATCATCTTTCACAGCGTAGTTCTCTGGCACCTAGTTTTTCTAGTAACTCAATCAGTTCAAGAGTTCATCCTCTGTCACTAGAGTCTGAGAGGCCTCCATTGTTGGACACAAAAAGACTGCAGCAGGAAGTGACTTTTAAAATTCTCTGCTCCAGTGAAAAAGTTGGTGGTGTAATTGGAAGGGGAGGTGCCATTATCAAGTCTCTTCAGAGTGAGACAGGTGCTTCTATAGCTATTGGAGCTTTAATAGCTGATTGTGATGAACGGTTAGTAACTGTTACTGCATCAGAGGTTAGTCATGCTGTGATCTCTTCTCAAATTCTCCATGTGCTTGTGTTGAAGTGTCTGTCTTATTCATATGTTTACCTTGGTTTCTTTTTGTGCAGAACCCTGAATCACGGTATTCTCCAGCACAAAAGGCTGTTGTCCTTGTTTTTGTAAAGGCGTTAGAGTCTGGCATTGAAAAAGGGATAGATTCAGGTGCCAAGGGCTCAACTGTCACTGCACGGCTTGTAGTTCCCTCAAATCAAGTTGGTTGTTTGTTGGGTAAAGGAGGAACAATAATCACAGAAATGCGCAAGGTAACTGGAGCCAGCATAAGGGTTCTTGGTGCTGACCAGGTCCCCAAGTGCATTACAGAGAGCAATCAAGTAGTACAGGTCTGATCGTGTCTTTAATTATCTACTTGTGTTTGGCATGGTGCATGAACATCAAAATATATTTATTTTCTATTTTCTTTCCAATTTTATTTGAGATTTTCCTACTATCTTTAATCAATGAAGTACCTTTTGGAATTGACAACAACTGGTTTTAACATCTCATAAATTGGAATTTAAATTGTAGTATGATGCCATTTTCTACAGATCCATTATACTCTGGTGCAGATAAGGAATGTAAATATCTCCACATGGAATATATTTCCCTTTTGTGCTTTATCCTACCAACCTAATATTTGAGAATATTTCACTGAGGGAGTTGATATGAAGAGAGAACATTTATGAGAATATTTCACTGAGGGAGTTATGAAAAAACTGGATCGTAAATTGATATGAAGAGAGAACATTTATGATTTGTGCTTGGGAAATTTATTGCTTGTCAAGGGTTATGGTTGAACAGTTTTTTGAACTTTTCTAGTGTTTTTCTCATTCAGGGACTTCTTGTTCTGCCTCAAATATTTTAATCTAGCATTCTCCTTTTCTTATTCTCCTTGGTACCATTTGTCTTGGGAATCTTGTTGGCAAAGTTAACAGATGGTGCTTCTATTTGGGCATCTTAAGGTTGTCAAACTGAGTGCATAATAAGATTTTGCATCAATATCTCCTGTTGTGTGGGTTTGTCATTGAGATTATTGCCATTAGAGGAAGTTTCTGAATACTTTAATTTTCTTTTATAAGGTCTATGACTTCTGAGCTTGGCTTCTCACTATATTTCCCTTAACTAATAGTTTATTATATTTTTTTACAGATTTCGGGAGAGTATATGAATGTCAAAGATGCCATATATCATGTTACTGGTAGACTGCGAGACAACCTATTCTCAAGCACCCTGAAAGGTGCTGGAGCAAGAAGCAATTCTGCTGTATTAACTGAGACCAGTCCATATGGAAGAATGATAGATCCTGACCCTTATGATCTGCCCTCACCTGGTGTTGGTTCCCATAATCTTGGACAACATACTTCTATGACACATGGTTTGGAACTATCTCATAGTTTAGATCGCTCTCTATCCCCTAAACCATGGGCATCTGAGGTGATATTTCTCTCATGCATGCACATTCAGCCACCATATATAGCCACATGCTAAAAGCAAACTCTGCACATTGAAATGCTTTCCATTCTTATTTAAGGGCGGGTTTGATTGCAGACAATTGCTTTTGTAAATCCAAGGGCCATCACAGATGTTGGTAGAGGATTGAGCTCTTTGAGAGGTGGATTGGAACTTGGCAGGTTGGTAACTTATTGCAAACTTTGCTGTTCTTGGTGGAAGTATGCAAAATATAGCTCTGCTATTACTTTGTTTCAAGTAGAGTGCTATCCCTTAATCTAAAATAATTAGTGGCAAGGTTCACAATGGCAGAAGGATAAGGAAATACCTTAAAAACCATAGCAGCTATTTACAGATAGTTTTATCATCTTATAATTTTTGTTTTTTTTAAAACAATACTTTTTGTTGCAGTGGAAGCAAATCTGCCATTGTGACAAATACAACTGTAGAGATCAGAGTCCCTGAGGATGTTATTGGCTCTGTTTATGGGGAGAATGGAAGAAATCTAACTCGCCTAAGAGAGGTAATGTGCACCTTTTCTGTTTTCTTTTTGAGCATTATATTGACAAATTAGTTTAATAAAGTATTTTAGTCTGAAAAAGTAGTTGAACATCATGGCTGCTGATAATTCCGCAAAGAACCATGCCAACACTGTGGACAAACCAACTCCGTAACAAATAAAATCCTTGAAAAAACAGCTCTCAAACCATGAAATCAAAGTCAGTACAAACTCTAAACTGAAAAGGAAAATATAAAATTAAAACAACACCCAACCATTGTTGAACAAGCCTCAACCCAACTCTCCTCCCGACCTTTAGATGTCTTCTGTTAACATACTTCAGTGTCATGCTGCTATAAAATAGTTTATACCTAAATTCATCACTAGAATTGCTGATAAAAAATGCATCACAAAAATTTATTTCTGAAGAAGGCCAATCTTGAACCTTTGTAAATCGTTGTTTCCTGAAGTATTGCTGACAACATTTTGGAGAATTCAAATGAATGTGCTTGAAAAGTTTACTCTGAACTCGATTTCTTCCTTAAATTTATTTATTAACATGAATGAAGAGTAAAGAATATATGACAGAAAATTTACCTTCCAAATCAGCTATAGTCTACAATCTCCCTTACTTTGCTACATGAAATGGCTTCCAACATTGGTTGTTTATGAGACGTGATCTGAAGTCAACAAAACATAAACTCATCCTCTGGTGTTCTTAAATCAGATTTCCGGTGCCAAGGTCATTGTGCATGAACCTCGCCTAGGAACAAGTGACAGGATTATAGTCATATCTGGAACACCTGATGAAACCCAGGCGGCTCAGAGCCTCCTCCAAGCATTCATCCTCACTGGATCATCACGATGAAACTCATCTTGCATTGAAACATAATTCTTTTAACAAAAGAAGATAAACTTCAAGCTGTTACTTGTGTAGCTGTTTTTTTTTTTCTTTGGCTTTCCATTGCAGTGTGCCCTAGTCCCAACTGGTTTTGTATGTAATCCTTGTCTTCTTGAAAACAATTAGTTGACCATTTTGTTCACTGTTTCAATTTTTCTGTTTTTTATTTTTTATTTTTTATTGCCTTTCTGCTTTTACCTGAGAAAGAAAAGAGGTCAGCTTAAATTGGGAGAAGGAAGAGGAGGGGTGGGGGGGTGTTAGGTTGGGGGTTGGAGGGTATTTTGCCAAAGGACAATTTTAAAACCAAGTAGTCTGCATGGCAAATACAATACAATTGAACCTTCATTCACAATTTTACCTAATTTGTGCGCACAAAAGAACTGAGTACTCACCAGCATTGAAAAGCTGCCCCCAGTTGTAAATTTTAGAAATGTACTGGTAATAAAAAGATGTACTCTAAATCCTAGAGAAGGATGAACTCAAAGTAAACCCAAAAGAGAAACACAGGGGAACGACATTTTTCAAATTTGATTCTTTGAACAAGTTGCTTGAAGACTGAATCTTGCAGGAATTTCCAGGTAAATCCCATCTTTTACCTTATTACAGCATTTTCCCGTCACCTGTACATTCTTGGCAAAAAAATATAATTCCAGGTTGAATTTGGGATTTCATGCTTAAGGAACACAAGTGAGAAACATAAGAGACAGATACAACTTACAAGTTACTTTTAACCATTCATAACAGATTCTGCTCACAAGATTTTCAAAAGCTAACAGTTTTAAAGGTAAAAGTTACGGATAAGATTGGAATGGCTTCTTTAACAACATAAAAATGGTCCTGGAATATTGAACTTTCATGTAATCTAACTTTCATGTAATCTGAAGCGCAAGAAATCTAGAATTACTAAGAAGTTGCTGTTGGAGGTGATCACGTTGGGTTGAGTATAATGTCTACATTATCATGGATTCCTTGTAGCAGTAGCTCAGCCGCATATCATACGTAATAATTTTACATTTCTCTGCGGCGCTCAGTGTCCCAACCAGCACTTCGAATGGTATGCACACTTATCATCCTTAACTAGCACACAGAATGTTACCTTCAGAACAGGAAACAGTGCAAATCTTATGGAAGAAATCCCACCACGCTAGGTGTTGTATGGAACATGGAAAAGGGGATACAAATCAGAAATTCACCGTCTAATGCAGTGTCATATGTCGTGTGAAGTACATCACTCAATGTAAAGCAAATCCACTAAGAATCTCAAATAGTTCCATCAAAACAGACCTTTAAAATCCAAATGGAGCTATCAATTTTTACCATCCCCTTTGGTAGGGTAAAAGAACAAACAGCGCTTTCTTTTTGCCTGATTTGTAGTATGAAGATTACCCAAATTTAGGAGTGGCAAAGGAGGCAGCTATGCAGATTCAGGTGTATGTTTGGATAATATGTATTTGATCTAAAACAGTAGTTTCTTATCGAAGTATTTTGAAAGGATGTTGGTTTGAAGCTCATGCATATCGTGCATCCTGGGAGAGAAATCGGAGAATGTTTGCTGGTCAACACGAAAATAGTCCTGGTCTTCGGCAGCTAGGAAAGAAAGTTCTTGCAAGTTGCAGAGCAGATATAATGGCTCAGGTATGACAATAATGTTTGAAGTGGCCTTTGCCTCAGAAGAGCAACGGAATTTCTTGTAAATTGTAGAATAGGGATGTGTATTGTGTATATACTTGGTCTTTGCTTTGATCCCAACAAATGTTCATTCATGGTTTGATTTATTTCATTGTTACTGGATGAAAATTGAGTTTATGCATTTAGATTTAGCTTCTGTTCATCTTCCTTTCAGGAAGAAAAGAACAGATAGATCCCTATTGGCAGCCATGGGAATGATATCAAAACATATATATATAGACACACACACCTCGTATCTAGCTTTAACATTTTCCCCAGAAAACCAAATCTAGACAATGATGAAATTGTAAAGATGGTTATGAAATGTTGGAGAATGAGTATACCGTGTAAGAAACATCAGGTTGGATGATCTCGGGTCTATGGATTTCTTTTCTGAGCCCGCTCAACGTCTTCATCTACGTTCATCATCTTCCTCCTTGCTGCTTTGATATTTCTTCTTCACAGCTTTCTCCGCCTGTGGCGTGTGCTTTCTATATAGCAAAAATATCTTTCTTTGATAA